TATCTCTCCAAACACACACACACACACACACACACACACACACACACACATATATATATATATATATATATATATATATATATATATATATATATATATATATATATATATGTTGGTACGATCCACCTAATTTTTTACATAGTGGAGTACCGACCATATAAATATGGTTGGTACCGGGAAGACGGGGGAGGAAGAAGAGATCCAATCCAGAGACTCTGCCCGACTGCGACTAATTAAACCCATTCTACAGGAACGGTCTTCCCAAGAATATACCAAACTATCTGTAAATATTGTGTACATGTTCTTGTGTCAATACATTTTGTTTAAGTACATTTTGTGTTGTATTATTATTATTCCATGCTTTATTCAAGTTTCAACATATATATATATATTATAATTATTTCTTTAAAAAATATGATTCCTTCGCTACATAAGAGTTCTCATGTTTCAAAAACCAGAGCCGAAAACCTCAATATAATTATTAAAATTAAATTGAATTAAAGTATCAAGCGAAAATTTAGGAATAACCAATCTTGGAATTTACGCATCTTTATAAGAATGTTCATTCACAAAGTTAATTACTATGGAAACGGTTGGGGCAACCATTTTGGTAAGGGGGTCTAAGCGGTAATTTCTATTCACATATCAATCACCTTCAGAAAGAGGTGAAGCCGAGGTAAGGTGGGGGGCATCCATTTTAAAGCGAATGATGGCATTCATGTGCGTACATCGTCTGGTTAGTCAAAGCGAAAGATTACATTTGGCACCATAATATTATTACTTTTATTAGACTATGAAATTTATTTTTTGTTTTCATAAATAGATAGATAGATAGATAGATAGATATAAAACGGCTAAGATAGATAGACAGATATGAACAGACTAAGATAGATTAATAGATATGAACAAAGATATATATATATAAATAGATAGATAGATAGATAGATAGATAGATAGATCAAACTGAGATAGATAGATAGATAGATAGATAGATAGATAGATAGATAGATAGATAGATAGATAGATATGAACAGACTAAGATAGACAGATATGAACAGATTAAAATAGATTGATATATATATAGAGATAGATAGATAGATAGATAGATAGATAGATAGATAGATAGATATGAACAGTGGGATAGATAGATAGATAGATAGATAGATAGATAGATAGATAGATAGATAGATAGATGTGAACAGACTGTAATAGGAATTTATGTAGTGCAGAAAAAAGATTCACATTTTATATAACTAGAAAAGTGGAAACAAATGCAAATAGCGAAGAAAGTACAACGATCAGGACAATTGAAAAGTTCGCTAAACCTAAAAGGAATGTAAAGGAATTTTATTTCTCGTCGAAGAAGAAACACAATTGAATTAATTAAAAGCAAATCCCAAATCGATTTGAGATGCTGTCTTTTACTTTTTGTTCTTCGATCAACGATTCCGGTCTTGTTTCTATTCTAAAAATGTCTATAATCTTCGATAGAAATCAAAATCTTATTTTCTTATTTCGTCGCATCTGATTGCCGAAGAGCATCATGGCTTTGAACTGAGACTTAATAAATTCTGCTGTCGGTGTCAAGTACCGGGGAGATTCGATCTCTGTTATTGCGTTGGGCACGATTCATTGAGAAGTCCTCAGGTCATAGAATTATGTTTATAAAATCAATTTGACTTCAGTTGTTTATTTGTCTTTGTTTTTTGGGGTTTTTTTTCTTCGTTTTTTTTTTTTCAAACTCTCATCTTGCCTTTATTTTGATTTTGTTTGCCGTTGGCATGATTTCGACATGAGTTATTCGATAAATCATCAAAGATTCTTGCTATTTACAAAGTTTAATGGTTACTCTTATTCTATCTGCCTTTTTCTCTTCAGAATGTTGGAAAGCGACTCTCTCAACAACTTCCTGTATTTGTTTTCTCTTAGTAACTTTTGCCTTGTAACTCCAAAATTAAAATAAATTGAGACATGTGTTAAAATATTTTTAAAAAAAAATGAAAAGTCTTTCTTGACGCTTTTATTTTAGTTTTAATTTTAGGATAATACATTAAATTTAATATTTCCAATAAACAAAATATTTTTCTGTATTTCAAATCTAATTCAATGACTATAAAGTTTTTTTTTTTTGCTAAAACAAAACACACAAAATAAAAACGATACCTTAGGTTTAAAATGAATTTTTAAAAATGAAAAATCTCTCTTGGAGGTTTTATTTTAGTTTTAATTTCAAGTTAATAGATTCAAATTAATATTTCCAAGAAGCAAAATGCTTTGCTGTATTTCAAACTAAATTTAAATTGATTGCAATCTTTTTCTTTATTATCAGTAAAAACGTTAAAATCGTCCATATTGACAAATCTGACAACACAATGTAATTGTTTTTATTAAAAATCTTTCAAAAATAAAATATAATATTCTGAAACTATATTTGAGGAGGATTAGTTACTTTAAGGTTTAATGTGATTTGAAAGAACATATTAATAATTCTTAAAATATCGCAGAAAAGCCTTTTTTACACGGAGTTGCTCTTTTTTAATGTGGTATTGACAACTATTTCGATGAACGTACCTTTTGGATTTTTTTTTCCAAGGGAGAAATAATTGACGAATATCACATGAATGCCTGTACCTTGAACTAAACAGAAAACTAACTTCATCTTCTTGACCACAATCTCTATGCTACTGAGATGAACTGTATCATCTGTCCCTAAAAAAAAAGATAAATAAAAAATAAATAATAATAATACCTAATGTTTAAAATTAATTTTTAAAAGTGGAAAATCTTACTTGAAGGTTTTATTTTAGGTTTAATCTCAATCTAATAGATTATATTTAATATTTCCAATAAGGAAAATAATTTGCTCTATTTAAAAAAAAATAATTTAAATTCACTGGAAAGATTTTGCTAAACTAGCTAATTACTGCCCTTTTATAGTCATCTTTCATCTCAATGTAATTCTCTTTAATAAAAAAAATGTCTTTCAAAAATAAAATATAATTTTCTGAAACTTTATTTGAGTAATATTAGCGGATTTAACATATAATTAATCTGATTTGAAACAAATATTATTTAACTGTAAAAAAAATTGTAACAAATGAAAAAAATCTTGTAAAAATTAATTTTTTGACTGATTTTTTTTTCTTTAGACAATATTGTCTTTAATATATATTATTCGAAAACTATTAAATGCTTCACTAATACAATTATATATTTATTAAAAAATGTACAAGGAAGCTACGTTTCGGTATTGGGAAAATAACTGAAGCCGCGATGCCAGGTCAAGACCGATAACATTACGGATTCTCCTTTGGATATACGGATGAATGTAAGACTTGTAAATCTCCAAGATAGAGTCTGGTGCTAAAAATTGTCTAGCATGATAGAGTGAAGTTTCCTAGCGCACGCTTAACAATTGATTCGATATAACCGCCCACTTCACGTCAGTAGAGATCGTTTAATCTAGTAAGATTAATGAGTTACTCAACTGAGGGGTTAGTGTGTGAGATTTTACGAAAAACAGAACAGGAGTTTGCTCAGGGCCTGGAATGATATGGTATATAAATATCATGCCGTTAATAACAGGCGCACTTGGAACAGTGACTGGAATGAGAACTGAATAAAGCCGTCAGTTCTATTTAATCATTTTCTCACATTAATCAAGAAAATGGTTTCAAGCGAATAAAGCTTCCAGATCTTACAGAAGAGAACTTTAGCAAATAACAGAAACCACGTCATTTGAAGATTTAAAATAGCAGCAACAACTAAAATGTCTATCTCTTGTAACTCGAAGCTATTGATGTTCACAAGCTTGTTGACGTTCCACACTACTTCGAACAAAAGGTTAGGAAGGAAACTCCCATAAATAATCGGAAGAGCGATAACAGCTACTGGACTTGAGAAACCTATTTTCCTGAAAAATTGTTTGTGAGGGGGAAACCAATATCTGATCTGGTATATGGAATTCGAAAAGAAAATAATGTCGTAATCAAGATGTTGACGCTCCACGCTACTTCAAACAAAAGGTTAGGAAGGAAACCGCTATCAATACTGGAAAGAGAGATAACAGCTACTGGACTTGAGAAACCTTTTCTCCTGAAGAATTGTTTGTGAGGGGAAAAAGATATCTGATCTGGTATATGGAACTTGAAAAGAAAATAATGACAATCAAGATGTTGACCTTCCACGCTACTTCAAACAAAAGGTTAGGAAGGGAACCGCTATCAATACTGGAAAGAGCGATAACAGCTACTGGACATGAGAAACCTATTTTCCGGAAGAATTTCTTGTGAGGCGAAAACCACGATCTGACCTGGTATATGGACGTCAAAGAGAAAATAATGTCATAATTGAGACGGTAATATTCTGCACCACATCAAATAGAAGGTTGGGAAGGAAAAACCTTATCAATACTGGAAAGTGTGATAACAGTTACTGGTCTTGAGAAGTCTATTTCCCTGGAAAAATCATTAATAATAAAGTTTTATAAATTTCCACCCAGAGTAACACTGGCGGTTCGGTGAATAAATGTCGAATGTTTCCTTGTAAGGAACCTACGAATCTCGCATTTATCATTAACGTTAGAGATCTTTTTTTTTTTTTACTAATATTCAGCCAATAAAAATCTCAAGCGTCACACAATTAGTGGGTTTTGAATGAGCTTAAAAGGAGGAGGAAAATGTATTTTATGAGGTTATATATGAAAAATAAGGGTGACCCCTAGACTTGAAGAGGTTAAAGTTGTTGTGATTGGGAGAGCAAGGACGTGTAAACTCTTTTCTGCTCTGTCAAGACTAAGAGGTGTCCGATTCAGCCCGGATATGCTAGCAACGCTCTATTTATGGTCTGATATGTGAATTTGTAAAGATAGAGCATATCAAGAAGAGTCGGATACTTACTGACGCGCTACAAGGAGCTGGTTATTTTGCCACTATCTTTAGTGATGGATGGTATATATGACTATCGTTTGAGATCTGTGATGAACTTGAATCCTAAGAGATAATCAAGGGAATGAGCCTCATTGAAAGAACAAACATTCACCATGACAGCCACTTTAAAGATCGGCCGCAGATAAAAGTTTCACTTGAGGTCTAGGATGAAATTAAATCCTAATAGACGTACTATGGAAGGCGTGTCATTGAAAGAACAAATATTCACCATGATAGCATCTTTAATGATGGATCGTATATATGTTCCTCTTGAGATCTGGGATGAACTTAAATCCTAAGAGACAAACAAGGCGAGGAGCTCATTGAAAGAACAAACTTTCACCATGATAGCAACTTTAACGATGGATCGTATATATGAGTTCTTCTTGAGATTTGGATTGAACTTGTATCCTCATAGACGTTCAAGACAAGGAGTCTCTTTGAAAGAATAAACGTTCACCATGATAGCATCTTTAACGATGGATCGTATATATGAATTCCACTTGAGGTCTGGGATGAACTTAAATCCTCATAGACGTTCAAGACAAGGAGTCGCTTTGAAAGAATAAACGTTCACCACGATAGCATCTTTAACGATGGATCATATATATGAGTTCCTCTTGAGATCTGGAATGAACTTGAATCCTCATAGACGTTCAAGACAAGGAGTCTCTTTGAAAGAATAAACGTTCACCATGATAGCATCTTTAACGATGGATCGTATACGTTATGAAAGAAATAAATTCCACTTGAGGTCTTGAGATCTGGAATGAACTTGAATCCTCATAGACGTTCAAGACAAGGAGTCTCTTTGAAAGAATAAACGTTCACCATGATAGCATCTTTAACGATGGCTCGTATATATGAGTTACTTTTGAGGTCTCAATAGCCATTCTAGCCAATAGCCATCCTTGAGTTGAAGTTGAAGAGTTGAGCTTCATCGTGGTAGGTGTACGCCTGTTTTCCCCTTGTAAATATTATTTATTTTCAGATTTCTTTTCTTTTCACTTATAACTATCCATTTTTTCCATTGAAAATTTTGCATGAATTAATGATATTAAATTAAAATGAATGCCGAAATCCCTCTCCCACCAAAAAAAATAAAATAAAAAATAACAATATGCCTAAAAATTCCTATTTTGCATAGAGAATCATCCAACGAAGATGTCCGCGGAGACCTCGCAAGAACTGTCTCCCCGAGTTGAGATTGTCCATTTTTTTTCCTTCACCTACGACTATTCCACTCTTCAGTCTCCCTACACAGAAAAACACAGATGTCATCACAAAAAGGAGAATTCGGCAACATTTTTCTGATAGTTTTGCTTCAGGCTGACTGCATTAGTTTTCGCTTCGTCCCGCGAGAGCTTGAATATTAATGGCACCCGCGACGCTAGTCGACTCAATGTCGACGCCGATAAGCTGCGGTGCAGGTCTGAAAACGCCAGTCAAGGTGACTGTCCGTAATTCGATGACGGAAATCTGTTTCGTAGATAATTCAGTCTGCCAAGCGATCAATCCGCTGAAGCGAGTGTCATTTGGAAAAGAAAGGAGCCAAGTGCCAATTCCACTAATTCTGCTGCATAATCAAGGAAGTTAACGACGTAAGAAATTATTAATATTGCCAGTAATGCTCGAGGCGAAAATCGGTCATTTCATGCGTAATTAGTCATTCTAGGCGTAATCAAGTATTTCATATATTATTGTTCACCTTATACAAGCCCAAAGAGCCATTCAAAGTAGAAGGTTATTAAATAATCTTTCTTTTCTGTGTCTGTCTATATTTCTGAGATGATGTATTATGTATACTATTTACATTATTCGGACTATTGTACTCATCTTTGTCGCCATGTTTATCACAACGTCTCGGCCGTTGTACGCTCCTAAAGGACACATGTCAAAGTGAATAAAGGAGTTAGTTAGATCCAGTGACAGGACCCAAAGAGTGTGAGTTCAATACCTGGTTAAGGCAGTGGAGAACTTTCAGAGGGGAATTAACAGGAGATAACTGACATCCATTAGATATGGCACGTGAAACTAGAACGGTCTACTCCAGTGAGCGAAATAAAGGGTTCAGTTCGACATTCCAACCACCTGAAGAAGGCCGGAGCGTACAACGGCCGAAACGTTGTGATAAATATGGCGACAAAGATGAGGACAATAGTCCGAATAATGTAAATAGTGTCTTTCTTTTCTATTTATCAAATAGACAGCAAGATAGATGAATAGATTATATAATCTGTCTTACGTATAAGTCTACAAATCGTTCATGCTATTAATATTACTGCCACATATGACCCAGTACTTCCGCTTTATATTTAGAGATTCTTGATAAAATCCAATAACCTGATCCTACTGGTTTGGGGTTTTGCAATAAGCTAACAACCTATTCACTTGCATTTTACAGAAACCGCAAGCCGTGTTCCTCAAGAAATTTAAAGGCATAATATATATTATCACGCTTAAGAAAGTATCACACTTAAGAAGGCACAAATGAAATGTTTTTCCCTTACATCGTTTTCTCCACGATAGATCTTGCTAGTGTAAAACGAAAGACAACATCCAATGCTGACCC